TGGTGAGGCTGCTGCCCCATCCCACCTACAACGCCTCCATCAACGAGTTCCACAACGACATCGCCCTGCTGGAGCTGGACCGGCCGCTCACCTTCAACAGCTACGTGACGCCCGTGTGCCTGGGCAGCCGCGAGTTCACCAACGCCCTCCTGAAGCAGGGCGTGGGCACCGTCAGCGGCTGGGGCAGGGTGCTGTTCCGCGGCCGCTCGGCCACCACCCTGCAGGTGCTCAGGGTGCCCTTCGTGGACCGGCCCACCTGCCTGAAGAGCACCTCCACCACCATCCTGCAGAACATGTTCTGCGCCGGGTTCCCCAGCGGCGGCAGGGACACGTGCGAGGGGGACAGCGGGGGACCCTACACCACCGAGATCGAGGGCACCTGGTTCCTCACGGGCATCACCAGCTGGGGCGAGGAGTGCGCCCTGCCCGGCAAGTACGGCATCTACACCAGGGTCTCCAAGTACGTCAAGTGGATCAAGCAAACCACGAAGCTCCCCTGAGCCCGGGAGGAGCGCTGAGCCTGCTGGGGAAGCTGCACCACGCTGGAGGATGGACTGGGGACATGCAGAGGGACCACGGCAATCCCCGTGGCTTTGAGAGACCATTTCAATAAATGTTTGTGGATGAAATAACTTCTGCTCTTGGAAGGCTGAAGTTGAGAGAATGCAATGCAAATGTGGTAATAAGGAAATAAAAAGCCTTTTAATGACCCATGGCTGCATTTCTGAATGCACTGGTGCTGCTGGGGTGGTGTGAGTCCCCAAATCCCAAATGCAGGGGTTGATGGATCAGCAGGGGAATGGCTCACATGTCCCAGGCCAGTGTGCCACCAGCACTGCCCACAGCTGGCACACAGCAGTGTGGGCAAGGGAAGCCCAGCAGGCACTGCTGCCCCAGCAGCACGCCAGGAGCCCACGAGGGAGATGAGCACGCACAGCAGTGCAGCCACAGTGCTCCCAAACAGAGGCTTTCACATGGAGGGGAGGCTGGGGACACCCCAACCCTGCTGGGATGGGTGCAGGGGACACTGGGGACACCCCAACCCTGCTGGGATGGTTCCAGGGGACACTGGGGACACCCTGAGCCAGGGCAGGCTGTCAGCAGCTGCTCTTTCAGACTTCACTATGAGTGCCAAGGCACCTCTGCCACTCTCATTGCCACTGCAGCCAGCAAGAAACTAACTGGATCATCTGCCACTGCTTACCTTAAAATCAAAATGCATGTAAGAAGGTTTTAAGTTGTTCCAAGGAAATGAAATAAAACCAACACTGTGAGCACTTTTTTTTCCCCTCTGGAATTATAGCAGATGTGTATTTGAACAGAATAGCATATTCTCGGATGGATTTATTTAACAAGTTTTTAATCTTTAAATATAGATTTAACACATTTTTACAGGTACATATACAATATAGTTCATTTAAACTTGCAGTCAGAGAAAATTCTCTACTGTCATTTATACATATACATGGAGAGCCTAGTTCAACAGCATACTCAGGGGAACATACCATGTGTGCAAAGTTTCAAATGTTAAAAACCTCAGACTGTACATTCAGATTTGCAGAACTTATCAACCTCATAAATTAATAAAAGCTAAGATTTAAAACTATGGAAGACAAAAAAGATTAAAATCATTCAATATGCAATGTGTGCTGTGTTTCAGACAAATATTTACATTGTACCTCAAAATGTGTATTGTTAGCACAAGAATTGTAACCACTAGAAAGAGCCCCAACAGTAATTAAGACTTTCCCACCTCATGAGTGCATTGTGATTGATTTGGAAGCAGAGGAACAGAGCCTGCAGTGCTTGCACTGTGGCTCCAGTGAAGGACACGGGATGTGCTGGCTCTGGGGCTGCTCAGCTCAGACTCAGCTGGGCCTGGCTCTGAGGGGCTCAGGGTTCCCCCCAGTCCTGGAGGAGCAGCCACTGGGGGCTGGGGAACCCAGGCCACCCCAGGCAGCAGCTCAGCAACTGCTCCACACAACAACAGGCACAAAACAAACCCAGCACCTTCTGACCTAACCTGTGCCTAAGGACCAGCTCACAAATGAAAATCAGATCATAAAGGTCCCCCTTTAGTCCACGGAATAAACATTTCCTTTGGCTGGGGCAGAGCAAACTCACTACTGCATGCACACCATTAACCCTGCTCTCCACACACTCAGGTGCTCTTTGCACACATCTGCTCAAAAGTTCAAACCACCTGTACCTACCTAAGTTCTACAAAAGCAAAACTAGACAAAGAAACACAAAATTAAATTATCAGTCTTCAACATTCTTTTTCCCTTCTCAAAAATTCAGTAGATACATTATTGTTAAAGATGCTGAAAAAGTCTTATCACAAGAACATCCTTAGTGCAAACATGGACATTTAGCTCGGATTTATGGCACGTGTTCCAAAGGTACATACATTAATGTAAACTTCAACACTTGCTAGATACAGGTTTCAGCCCTGGGACGCTTTGGGACCCTAAGTGATTGGTGACAACCCTGAGGTGTCAGTTTGAGCTGACCCAGACCCCACTGAGATCAGGGAGGCTGACTGCAGTGGGCTGGAGTCAGACCCCAAGTGCAAAAAGAGGATCTTTAGTGTTATTGCTTCCTCACGTGGAGTCAGCCAGATGATGCTCTTACAGAACATTACATTCACACAGCTGAAGCAGATAGTTAAGAAAAATCCACCCATAAAATCAATTAAGCAGGACATACAGCTTCTTGGTTTGGTTTTTTTTTTTTTTCTTTTTGGTTTACCAAAACTCAACTCTTGTTTGCAACTTCAACACTTGTCAGCTAGTATGTAGGCAAAACCTACTTCAACCTGCAGAGGAGATTTCAAGCATCTAAACGAAGTGTCAGGAAACTGTAGTGTACTTCTCTGATGAAACATGATGTATGTCATGGAAAAACAGCAGGAAAATGAATAAAATACCATCATTTCCACAGGCAAACAAAACCAAAGAGCAGAGAATGGCTTCCTTTATGAGCATGAGAAGCTGCTTAGGACCCCAGTCCCACTCAGTGCAGATGAGGCTGTGGAGGTCTGTGAATGTGATGAACAGGACAGGACAGCTCCAACTACTGTGCTATTTCTCTGTAACACTGAGCTGAAAGCTTCCCAAGAGCATCGAAAATGGGATGCTGCTAGTTCACCCTCAGTTCAAGGGGAACTAAACTTTCTGGTGTTACACAGGGCAGCATCTATAAAGTAATGGAGAATGGTGTTAATATTAAAGCATCTGATTCCAAGAAAGACATTGTTCCCTGTAATCATGTAACATTTGTATAACAGAAAAAAACCCAAATGCACTCCTGCATTTCTCCCTAAAAGCTGAACTCCCACTGGCTTCAGTGAGAGCCTTGACTAAGGCAGGACCACAGGGTTTGACTCATTTCCATCACCTATCACTTCATTATCACAGCAAGGCCAGCTGAAATCTTCTCTGGGCTCTTTATGTTGTCAAGCTGGAGATGGTTTCTGGGTTACTAAAGAGCTGCAGGGCATAGGAGAGACCCTGCTTTATGCTTCAAAGGCTAAAAACAATCAGCATTGCCTCTAAGGGATCCTGTGTGGACACAAGAGCCTGTGGCTGCAGTCACTGAAGGGAGTGAGGGGCAGGGAAGGAGCTGTGCTGCAGCTGCCAGCTGTGGTGGCACTGCAGCCAGAGCATGGGCACAGCTGGCACCTTCCAGCCAATACGCCACAGCAGCCAGAGTGTGGGCACAGCTGGCACCCTTCAGCCAACATGGCACTGCAGCCAGAGCGTGGGCACAGCTGGCACCTTCCAGCCAACATGGCACAGCAGCCAGAGCGTGGGTACAGCTGGCACCTTCCAGCCAATATGCCACAGCAGCCAGAGTGTGGGCACAGCTGGCACCCTTCAGCCAACATGGCACAGCAGCCTGCCAAAGCTGGAGCCACAGGCAGGAATAGCCTGGCCAGGCAGGTCCAGGGTGGCCAGGGGCACAGAGAATCCCCAGGGATTGTCCAGGGGGCACAGGACAATCCCAGTGAGGGCACAGGACATGCAAGCTCAGTCCTTCAGGCACTGCCAGCGGGGGAAATCTCTGCTCAGCTTTATGGCATGGACAGCAGGCACAGGGGACCCCCCTGAGGCTTGGAGGAGAGGATTTGGCAAGCAGGATGTTAAATAAACTAGGAGAGGGTCTGGCATGTGGAACAGGAGCCTGTGCCCTGGAAGGAAGAGAGTTCAAAGGGAACCTGGTTCCAAGCCCTGCAGTGCAGCTGAGAGGTGAGACCTTCCTCCTCCTCCTCACTGGCACAGACCTGCCCGTGCTGCCCACTGTGACCCTGGCACACTGCCACCAAGGGACATGCAGAAATGCTTTGTCTCCTGCTCCAGGGCAGAAGGGAGTTGGGACTGTAATGCTGGGGCCCCAACCTTCCCTGAAATGAGGAGATAATCTTGCATCCCCATGTTAATTCATGGAAAAGCCAAGCCAGTTAACCAGGCAGTGCCTGACCACCTGCAAGGCAGCTGAAACCCCCAGCACATGGGTGAGCCTCAGCAGCAGTACATTCTGAGTATTGCTCTTTCTGAGCACAGCTCTCTCCAATTATTCTCCATTTAGAGCTCTGCATGTTACCACCTGCAATACAAAACTGCTCCTTCATCATGCACATTAAAAAATCCACCATGGGTTTGCACAGCAGAGAGAATAAATCTGTCTGGAAGGAAGCAGCAAGGACTAATCTCAGAACTTACAGCTAGAGGCACAGCAGAAGGAAAACTCATTTCCAAAATGCTCTCCAAGCCAGACACCTTCCTCCCAGGGAACTCATGGCTCATGTCCAGGCTAAGATTTACAAGAGGACTGTGGATTTGCAAAGCTGGGAAGTGAAGCATTGACCAAATACCCCTCTGCTCACTTAAAATGGACAGCAAAGAGTTCCCTGGAACTTCATGATGATCTGCATTGGCTCAACACTGGAATCATTTGCAGGAGGGGAAAGGAACAGCCTGTGGGCATGCAGGTATCAGCCATCCTATGGTGGGCCACAGAACAAATCCAAGGAGAAATGTGAAGGTAAGGGAACCATTTATTCTATTCAGATAAAGGCTTTGCCCTGACAAAAATCCCAAACCCCAGATTTGTGTGAATTCTGCTGTGAAATTCTGTGACTGGACACAGAGTTTTAATTAGGGGAACCTGGAGCTGAGCAGCAAGACAGGCACTGCCCCCACAAATGCCAAAGTGCCTCTCCCAGCACTGAGGTGACTCCAGCACTCCCCAAGCTCCCAGGGATCCCACAGTGTTAATCAAGTTTACACTACTGACATGCAGAGCAGCAGCTCAGCACAGGCAGCTCAGGGAGGGATCTGAGGCTGCTCCTGCCCTGCCTGGCTCCACCAGCCTGGCTGCCTGATCTCCTCTGCTGACTGGAGCAAGAGCTCCATCTCCTGCAGCAGCAGCAATGAGCCCAGCCCAGAGTCACTGCAGGGTGAAGGGACCAGCCCAGGGTAAAGGCAATTGCTGAGTGCAGAAGAACTGCATGAAAATCAATTTTCAGAGTGCAAGTTGCTTATGGCTGTAAGGACACAGTGCTGGAAAGCTCTAGGAATAGCTCTAGGAAATAGCAAGAGAACATCCCACATCATCCCCCTGTATTTCCTGGTGTGTGCAAGGTTAGAATCGTGCCTTGGGACTGCAGGCACCACCAGAAACAGCAAAGAGAACACAGAAAACATGGAAAACAGCTCCAGTGCTCTCAGAGCCTGGGTCACAGCTCTGGGGTACCTGGGCAGGGGTGTGGCACTCACAGGAGGCATTTCTGTGGTTTCACCCCATGCAATTCCCCTCACTTTGTACTCAGCAACTCTATAAACCAGTGCAGAGCTGACAGTCTCTAGGTTTGTGCGGACATCACCACTGACAGTGCAAACCAGGGTTCAAAGTTTCCCAGCACCTTTTTTGAGATGCATCCTCAGCTGTAAAACCCTTCTGCATAGGACCTGGTGAGATGGGGTAGCTATACATGGAGAGAAGATCAAGGGAGCCATAACTGCAGGGTGCCAGTGAACTCTGAACAGTGGTTAGCAAACTACCCCTTACAGAAAATCAGCAAACCTTCAACCTCTGAGATTTGTGTGCCCTGCAACAATGGGGATAAAACATACCTTCCTGTAGAGGAAGGATTTCACTGAAATACACCAAAAAACCATCAAGAGCTGACTGGAATTCTGAGCCTTTCAGGTGGCTTCCTTCACCTTCATCAAAAAAACAGATTCTGACAAAAAGAATTTTTAAAATAGAAATCTCCTTTCAAGTTTTGCTTCATACAGTGATAGCTAGTAAATTTTAATTTATTTTTTTAATGGACTAAGTCTGTGTGGGCTTCCTGAGCTGTTCCACCTCCAGCCCTGGTGTCCCATTTGCTGAGGACAGTGTGGTGATGAGGCAACACATGGAGCAGTGACATGGCAAGGGCAACAGGCTGCTCTTAAGGCATTTTCTTGTGTCATCTTTTATGCTTCCCTGTCTATTGGTATGTACAGTTACAGCTAGAAAATGAAAACTCTGAGCCTTTGGCTGAAACCTGTTTATAATGAGCTTTCTCTAGGGTGGATTGACCAGCAGGCAGCAGTGAGGGCAGGAGTGAGGCAGCAGGGAGGAAGTATTGCCTTAGAGTGCTGGGGTCAGGCCACGATGTCTTTAGCAGCAGCAGGAGATTTGGCTTAGGTACCTCCTGCTCCACAGGAGGTGTGAGCTACAGCAGGGAGGAGGAAAACAGTCCTGGAATCCCTGGTCAGACTCCGTCTCTTCTCCCCGGTCTTCTACCCAGTGCTCTTGCAATGAAATCTACGTTTTTAAATGCTTGGTTTTAATTTACTCGTGCCTAAAGTCTCAGAAACATCTTAAACAAACAAACAACCAAAAAAGCTTAATTTACTACTTCTGCAGGCTTTTTGGGATAGCTGCTTGCTTTCCTATTACTCCAGCAGAGGCATAAGCAGCCAGGTTTAGTAGATCAAGTGTAATGCAAATGGCTTAAAAGACCTGGTTTGAGCTATGGGATATTTCTGCTAGGCGTGCTATCAAATACCTGCAACTTTGGCATTCCGAAACCTGCAGTCCCCGACCACAATCTGCAGACTGTGCACAGGGATCCAGCCTTCTTTCCTTCTGTTGAGGTTCTTCACCAGCCTTGGGATGACAGCAGCATTAGGAACAGAAGCCAACGCACCCAGAGCAGTTTGGTGAGGGCCTGCTCCCCACTGCTGGGGTGCAAGCAGCAATTTACCCCAAGCAGGGAAGCATTTTAACAGCGCCTGGCCATGTGCTTAAAGCATTCCTCCCACCTCAATTTAGGAACCTAATTAAAAAGCCTACACCTCTGTAGACAGGACTCCCTCTCCAGTCATCCTGCCCAAGACCTCCAGAGATGCCAGCTCAGGGAAACTGGCTACTGAAGGAGTCAAGGGTAATTATTTTTCTCACTCCTCTGCCATTTAGACTGGTAGGATGATTTTAGTCAAGGTACTGTAAGTAAATTCAAGCCAAAATTAGGCAGCTGGAAATACTCATGCTCAGAAGTGATACCCTCTGTCTCACTCATGCAGTGAAATTTGTGCTAACAAAAAGCTTGGTGTGAGAAATCTCTGACTGGCACTGCCTGGAGCCCCCAGGAGAGGTGAACTTTCAGCAAATGTGAGGTGCTTTCCATCTGCTTTGGCTAACAACAAACTGAATTCTTCAAAGTGCAGTGGGACTAGATGATCCTTACAGATCCCTTGCAATTGAAATATTCTATTTTAACCTGTTCTGATTTCCCTTGAAGTGCAGGGGCTGTAGCTCTCAGCCAGGAATCCTGCATGGGCATTGACATCTGTGCATCCTGCACAAACCTGTCCCAGGTTCCTGCCAACATCACCCTTCCCACACCCCAAAGAGGGCTTTGGCACACTGGGCTGGCTGAGAGCTGCTCAGAACCATCCTGCAAAGGGAAGAGCAGAAGCCTCAGCCAAACTGCTGTAAGCCTCAGGAGGGGCAGGCTGCCCCCAGACAAGGATGGTCCAGCAGGCCCAGGGGGGCTCCCAGGGGATGCTCCCAGCCCTGAGGGGTTCCCTTGTGAGCCTTTACAGCTTTACACACAACAGAAACGGTCTGCAGCCATCCCCAGTGTAGGGAACACTCCTACAGCTGTGTGAGGGAGGCAAACACCCTGCAGCCACTCCCTGGGGCTGTCAGTAACCCCAGAGGGACACAGCCTGGAGCTGAGCTGGATGGACAGAGGGAAGCACTGTCTGAATTGGGGACAGCATGGCAAGAGGGGTGTGAAGGTGTTGGGAGAACCCAGATCAGGCAGAGACCCATGGCCAGGGGAGCCCTGACTCGTTTCCCCAGGCTATGCCAGTGGGGATGGATCTAGTCTTGGCAGGAGAATGAATTCTCCACTTTCTGGAATGGCCTAGAGCTCAGCCAGGAGCTGCATTACTGTATCACCAGGCAAGTGACATGTGAAGGGACTGCCCTGCAGGCTCTTAGAGATAAGGCAAAGGAATCCTGAAATACCTACCACTGTCCCTCACCATCTTCATGCAAGAGCTGAATTTCATCCCCGTTTTTCACCAGCAGGTCCTCTGATCCTCTCCTCTTGCAGTCTGCAAGGGCTTTGTATTTTCCTGGAGACTGTGGTAGAGAGAAAAACTTGCATTATTTAGCTGCCTTGTGTATCATGCAGCTTTGATGCCTGACTGCTGCAGGGAACGTAGCAGAGCCCTACCAGCGACCTGAATCAGAATTATTCTGGCTGAGACATCCTCTCATTGCCCACACTGACATATGGAATTTCTGAGGGACATGGCCAAGACACAAGCATTGTCAGTGAGGAGAACAGGCAGAGTGAGCCCCCAGGGTGTCCCATCACCTACCAGCTGGGTGCCCTCCTCCTCCTCGGTGTCCGAGCAGTTGGACAGCTCCTGCTGGCCCGCCCACTCCTCCAGCCCCTCGCAGATCTCCAGGGACTGGGACATTCCTGGCCAGCCTGCAACACACCGGGGCTCAGCCTGGGCCAGCAGCCCCAGAGAGGCCCCGGGGGGGGAAAGGGGGCCCTACCTCTGTGGGGTTTGCTCTGGGGGGACAGCAGCACCGGGCTGGTGCGCTCCGAGTCGTTCTCCTCCGAGCTGATGGAGGCTCTCTGCTGCTTCCTGAGGGGGCAAAAGGACAGAATCAGTCCCCGCTTTACCTCCCCAGTGAGCACCAACCCCAGGAGGGTTTGTCAGATGGGCAGAAATAACCCTGGTACCTCTCAGTGTATGTTTGACCTCTCAGTGTATGTTTGACCTCTCAGTGTACGTTTCTGTGAAGATTAAGGACTTAGTGCCCAGTTCCCAATCTTTTTGGGAGGGGAAGGAAGCTGCTGCAGTGTCTCTGCCCTAATGAAAGCCCTGTCTCTGCTCTGCTCCATCTGCAGAGGGGCTGCAGCTCAGCTGAGCTGCCAGGCTCGAGGGTGTCCCTGCAGACCCTGTCCCCAGGCCACGGGCACCCAAGGGGGAGCACAGGCACA